ACAGCATATTCTGGAAATGGTCCCCGCTGGGTAACAGAAACAAGGAAACAGGAGGTCAGATGTAGACACATCCATCCTGACCTCCTCTGATAAACTAACCGCGGTTCCAGGATCTCTAGGCCTGCAGGTCTATCTTTGACCCATCTAACCATCTCCTCCATGGAAACTAACCTGTTTGCAGCAAACAGCCTCCTGCTCGCTACGACTGCTGCTCAGAAATGACCTCCAACAATAAAACGATCTGTTTCTACCAGGAATTAGATGACTTAGGAAAAGCGTTTTCCACCCGTGATGCTGAAGTGTAATTAGTATTTTAATAGCCTGTATTCCTGCTGCTGATAAGCTGGTTCAGTAAGTTAGATTCAGGAGCAGATCTCCTCCGCAGAGATTAAAACAGGAGATGCAGCTTCAGAACTGAACTTGTTCGTCCCACAGTCCCAGTGGTCTAAATCTACGTAGATCTACAGACTCACTGATGGATCTCCATTCCACCAGGGAGGTGATCACCTCCTTTTATCCCCTGAAATCCTCCTCTAGCTCCCTTAAAGCTACAGAAAGCTGGATTCGGGTTCCCCCTCTAACCCTAACCTGAGGACGGCCAGTCTGCGTCTGCAGTCTTGGTTCTTCTCTAGACTGCTCTATCAGTCTTCTTCATTTGGTGGTAGGGATCCTCCTCTTGTCTGATACGGTTGAATGATTCTGGAGGGAACGGTTCATCTTATCCAGCGACGCTGAATCATTTACAGAAGAAGCTCCAGGTTCAGTTCTGAGGACAGAATAATCTGCTCCACAGTCTAACTTTAGACAGAGAAGAACCTCAAACCGTTTATATGTTCCTTACTTATATTTCCTATTATTATCTTCTATCCCACCAAATGTTTAGTAGAAACCATTCCTTTGCTTTAAGGTCACAGCCATTTGCCTCCATTTTTTATTTCTCTGTATCTCATAATATAATCATGTTTTTCTAAGTGATTTTTTGTGTTTTTCTTTCTGATTGTTTGCTAAGCAATGAATTTAAAGCCAAGACTTGACATCTGGTTCGAACCCTTTGTGAGGAGGGCTGATAATCTGTCAACCTGTGTAGATAACTAAAAGTGATTATTGATTGATTTTTCTTCATCTGTCCTTGTTTTCTTTTATAAAAACATCATAATGTGCAGCTGCTCCTCTCACGCTGACGTTGCTGCACCGCTTGTCCTCCAGATGGCGCTCTATGGTCTACATCATGTGCTGCTCCCTCAGGGAGCGGGCATGTTGGTAGTACAGGGTGGAGTGAAGCCACCGGCCGCCATATTGGTACTCCCTAGTTAGACCTAGTTAGTTAAAGAATCCATGGCTACAGCATCGAACAACCAGGATGTTCTCATTTTCAGGGACTGAAGACTTTTAAAATAAAGATAAATTCATCAGTTTGACACAGACTGGCTGTTTCAGAGCATCAGTAGATTAACTTTAACTTAGAATAAATAAATAGACCAATCACATTATGAAGTTAATGAAGTCTGTAAATCATGTAATATAACATATTATAGAAATCGGTCACAATAACATTAATGTGTTGATGGAGCAGAATAATACAGATGAGCCAAAAGTGATAAAATAATGATGAACATGTAATAAACATGTATTGATGACATTGCACAGTCATTCCATCTTACATATAATTAGAATATTTCACCTCAGGACTGAATTACCCGTCCCTGTCTGTTAATGCTGTAGTATTTTCCTATCTGCAGATGGATGAAGCCGTATACTTTATGCTGTGTCTGAGCATTAGTCTTTAAAAATGTTTGACTTGCTTTTCTTCCATCAATATAACCTGCAACATATTTCAGCTCATG